GTACCAAAAATTATTATTTTTTTTAAAAACGATTAACATTTTTGAAAAAAAATTACTTCGAAAAAATAAGATTTTTGAGAAACTATAAAATGGACAAAAATTACTTTTTTTTGAAAAAAAAAATTTAAAAAAATAATTTTTTTTTTTTTTTTTTAAAAAAAAAATATTTTTTTCTTTATTTTGACATATTGTGGAAGATCTGAACTTTTTTTTCAAAGCAATCGTACTGCTTTAACTGCATAGGGACAGAATATAAAGCGCGTAAGCGCCGCGTCGCTGTCTAACGCATAAGCATTGGTACGGAACCCATAGGAATGTTAACAAAATGTATACTTATTGTTAAAATCTCTATAAAATATCTGATAATTTGATGTGCATTTGTCTAATGATCATTTTTGACCGCCAAATGGCTCATTTTTTTACTTTTTTCTCCATATCTCCGAAACCGCTAGACCTACCTTCATGAAAATTTTATCGATTCTTCATCTTGTCAATACAAGTGAAATGTTTTTTGAATTATTCAAATCGGACGCTCCGTTCTCTTAAAAACTGAGTAAACGTTTTCGGCACTTTTTGCCCCATATCTTCGGAACCTGCCTTCGCCAAAAACTAATCAGCACGTCTCCTTATCAATACGAATAGAATGTTTTTTGAATTATTCAAATCGGTTGATCCGTGTTCCCGAAATCGTCGACGAAAATTTGTATCCGCACATACATACACACACACACACATACATCCATTTTTTCTAAGGTATGCCAAAATGTTCAGAAACCTCTGAAACGTAGAGATATATGAATAAAAATTTTCATTTTCGATTTTTTTGCGATTACTATAACTTGCCCTACGGGAAGTTAATTATATAGTGTATTTTTGCAATTAAGCTAGGAATTGCAATAAATCGATATTTATTTTTCATAATTTTCTACATAAAGTTGAAAGCAAATCTCAAAACTCTCAGCAGGATGTTTACAGTGTTTTTATAAAAACTTAGCATTGTGACTAATTAATATTTTCAATTAAAAATAGCTCATTTCAGGCCCTGCGGTGTGAAAAGGCAATGGAAAATCACGTCTCGGACCTACTAATTTTCTACTATATAAGTATTTTCAATTAAAAATAGCTCATTTCAGGCACAGCGGTGTGAAAAGGCAATGGAAAATCACGTATCGACTAAGATTGCATCTATAATCAACTTACTAGATCATGCCATTCTTAGTATATGCTGAGTTAAACTTTAACTCTAATCAGGGAATAATAGTGTGAGAAATTACTCATTACGATTACACACCATTTTAAATTGATTTGTTGTGTGATAGCGATTTCAAAAACTATGAAAAAATCTCCAGTTCCCTCTCAAAAACAGTTTTGTCTACAGATTTTAATGTTAAATTTCTATATTTTGGAGAATTTTTCAAATTCAAAATTCAAACTTTCAAAAATTGAAAAAACTAAATTGACCCCAAAATTAAGAAAGTGTTAGGGTTGGCCAACCCTTGATAAACAAACTCTTTTTTAAAGTAAAATTCAAGCCTTTTCATAAGCTCAAAGAATCCGAGTCAAAAGTATGTCAGAACCATTCACTGACTGAATGTGGTATGAAACATTATTCGCGTCGGGGTCGGTGGTAATACGGTAAAAATTTAGGAATGTATGTATCTTAATTACAAATGATAAAAAAATGAAATTAAAAAATGCCCTCAAAACTAAAAAAAATCTTAAGTATACCCTATAAAAAATAAGTGATGGACAAATTTCATAAAGATCGGTCAAGCTGTTTCAAAGAAATATGGTCATAAATATTATGGCACAAAAATTATATACAATTAATGTTTAAAGAACGTTATATTTTGAATTTTAGTAAGAATAAGTTTGATACAAATAAGCATAAACCTTGTAATATAATAAAAACTTGTAATAGTATTTAAATTACACATTTTAATACAATTAATAAAAGTAACTAGTGGGGTGCATGGCATCGTGCCTTAAGGCAAATTGCTGGAACTTCCCGTACCGTAATCAAAAATCTTGGTACGAAACCCAAAAAAATTTACACAAAATGTATACACATTATTAAAACCTCTATAAAATATCTGATAAGTTGATGTACATATGTCCAATAAACATTTTTGACTGCCAAATGACATTTTTTTAACTTATTTTTATTGAGAGTCCATAAGCGCTAGACCTGCCTTCCCAAAAATTTAATCAGTTCTTCATCTTGTCAATACAAGTAAAATGTTTTTTGAATTATTGAAGTCGGATGCTCCGTTCTCTTAAAAATTGAGTTACCGTTTTTGACCTTCGCCAAAAACTAATCAGCGCGTATCAATTTCGAATCGAATGAAATAATTATTCAAATCGGTTGATCGGTGTTCCCGAAATCGTCGATGAAAATTTGTATCCGCACACACATACATACACAACAAAGACACATATATCCATTTTTTCTAAGGTATGCCAAAATATTCAGAAACCTTTAAAACAAAGATATATAAAAATTTTCATTTTCAATTTTTTGTGATTACTATAACTTACCCTAACGGAAGTTAATAAAATATGCTATTACAAAATGTATAATCATATAATTACCTGTTTGGAGTATAATATTCCATATTTGGCTTATTTGGGCTTAAAACAATTCCTTGACTTGTGGCAAATCCATCATGTGTATTTGAAAATCTATGGTCACCTACATATAAATAAATAAATAATTTTATATAGTATACAATTTACTAATGTTATATTTTAGTGTAAAAATGTTACAATACCTAAAACTGGCAGTACCGGTCTGGCTGTAGACATGTTGTAACCAGTTATAATGCAAATGTTCATTAGGAATTCTAAGAGGCAGTGGCATTGGTGCAGGCATATTGTGCGTGGGAACCATATTGATTGGACTCATCGCTTGATAATTTTGTTTAAAATTTTCATCTGTTATAGTTTTATTATTACCTGTCGGTCTTAGAGATTTACGACTTTTTGCTCTATGTCTGCAAGATAAACAAAATATATTTACATGCTTATAAATATAAGTATATTTTGTTATGTGATCATAATTGTGATATGTATAAGTACTTAAATAACAATTTTGACACTAATAATCTCTAATTATAATTGAGCTTTACTATTTTGTAATCAATTCTTAGCATATAACTAATTACTAATACTAAAACAGTAGTTATAAAATTCAAGAAAATTTAATATATTATATAATAATAATCTTTATATAAATTTTATTAATTGCCAGGCACTCCAAACAAACTAATAATTCAAGTATCTTCTATTTACCATATTTATTAGTGGAATACTCTGAAAACAGTACTATACATGTGAACAGAAAATATGACTGAGCAGAGAGATGCAATAAGATCTAATCAATTTAGTTTAAACAAATGAAATATTTTAAAACAAGATCAAGATTATCTTTTGGTACCTGTCCAATTCGTCCTCAGAATGAGCAAAAGTGCAATTTACTCCTCTTGGGCAACTATTCTTCAATGTGAGGTCTCTACACATACTAACTTTATATTTACTGTTGACGCCATTGGCTCCATTGATGGTGATAGGCTGTGGTGCAGCAGCACCGACATTAAAATGTTGTGACATTTGTTCGCTTTGTTTACAGACTATATTTCCAGAGCGACACATACCAGACACATTTGTATTTCCCAAATTATTATTAGAATTTCCATGGGAATGATGCATGATGAAATCAACTAAACCAAAGACAACTCGGGCAACGGCTGTTAATGCTGCACTACATTGCTGCCAAGTTGGAACTACAGATTCTGTGTAAAGAAGATATATATTAATAATATATAATTTAGAGATATGCTAACATTTTAAACCAAAAATTATATAATATTAGGTTATAAGAGCACATAAGTTGAGAAAAATTATATTATATAATAATAATAATATAATATAATAATTATATTATATAATATTAGGTTATAAGAGCACATAAGTTGAGAAAAAAATTCAACATTCAAATTAAATATATATATATATATATATATATATATATATATATATATATGTATATATCTTATATATGAAATACTTCTGCATAAAAATGAATCGCAAAATGTGTTGGTAAGCGCTTAACTCAACAACGCCTGGACCAATTTGGCCAATTCTTTTTTCAAAATATTCGTTGGAGTCCAAGGATGGATCTTACGGCGCGAAAAAATCGAATAATTGCCGGGAAAACCCTAAAAACAGCCCTTTTTTCACATACAAATGTCATTATTTTCATATTTTTACCATCGGATACGGAATATTTACTCCAGTCAATGGAGCGTTTTGGGTCTGAATTTTTTTACTATGCTCCAATTCGTATGGAATTTTGGAATGAGGTTTATCTTACTCTGAAGTTCAAAAGTGAAAATAATCTAGATTCCTTTGCCATTTCCATGTAATTTTATTTTTTTCAAAATAACGTCGGATATCGAATAAGGAACTAACTAGTTGGTATTGGTAATTTGCCTCGAGGGAAGTTACAACTTCCCGAAATGTGTAAATAATCGACTTAATCAATAAAAAATAAATCAATTTATGAGTGATTATAAGTATTCCGAGTGGATTTATTACACATTGCAAACGAACGAACGACCACGTTAACTCGGAGTATTTTCTAAAAGCAAATTTTCAAAAATCAATATTTTTCAAAATTGAACAAGTTTCCGTAGGACTTTAATGGTTTACTATGTTCAAGACCAAGTACACTATCGTTATACCAACTAAATCATCTAATTTTATTTTTAACAAACGTCAAAAAAACTACTCATTTTCTCTAACTTTGAGGAATTTTAAAAATTAAACTACTTGTCGTAAGGCCGTAATATTTCAGTATGTTCTATAAGGCCATGACATATCACCGAAATAAGTTCCATGAAAATCGGCTTAAATTTTTTTTCCAACAGTTAATTACAAGAAAACGGCTCGGTAAATTTTCACCTAAAACTGATCATTATCATTCCCAACTAATATCTTTCGAACAGTTTTTGATTTTTTAAAATCGGTTCGGTAGTATGAGCTTAAATGTAGTCATAAGGTTTAACACTTTTGTCCAAATTACAAAGAAACGGCTCGGCCGATTGTCGCACAAAACTGAGAAACGATAATCCTCATCGAGATACATCAAATGCTTTTTAAATATCTGAAATCGGTTCAGGCGTTTTTGAGCAAACGTCGATGAAAGTTCTAATTTTGACAAATTCCAAAAAGACCATACTAATTTTTGCAAACTTTGACGAATTTTTAATTATTATTTTAGTAATATTTTAGTATGATCTAGAAGACTATGGTATCTACCGTCAAAAAAATAATCATAAAAATCGTCGATTTTTTTTTTTTTAACTTCATTACAAGAAAACGGCTCGGCCGATCTTTACCAAAAACTAATCAGCACGATTCGCAACCAATATCTATCGAACAGTTTTTGAATTTTCAAAATCGTTTCAAAATTGTGGGCTAAAACTGCGATTTACTTTTCTGCGATTTACAAAGAAACGGCCAAGCTGATCGTCGCACAAAACTCAGAAATCCTCATCGAGATCAAATGGCTTTTAAATTCTTGAAATCAAAAGGCAAAAAATCTGTTCACTCACACACGCACATACTTTTTCCAAATTTGGTCTCAGTCGATTCAGAATGGCTTGAAATGGCAGGACATCAAATAGGACAAAAAGTATGAGATAGGATATTAAAAAATTTGGAACTTTTGAATTGTAGGCAGGTCAACGGCTATCGGGTCATCTAGTGTATATATATACATATATATATATATATATATATATATATATACATATAATTTTTAAGTTAATTTATTGTTTATATTATTAAATATAAGACCTGCATTTGCATCAATTCCTGCTAGTAGTTCTAAGCTTTTAGTGAGACCTCCCAAATCAGCCGGATCTCCACTTCTCTGCAAAGCTATCACCAATTCTTGCACACCAAGGGCAAAACTTTGTGGTCCTTGAAGTTTATCCATCACACTTTGCATATGTGATCTAAGAAAGAGTAGAAAAATATTTATTTCCAACTGATACCATCATTGATATTCTTCATAAAAAGTCATAAAAAATTCTATCTATATTTACTAAAAATTTCAATACCTGTGTGCAGCATCACCATACAATAAAGCACTCCATTGGTCTGGTGCTACTCTTAAACCAGCTTCTGTGGCAATTTGCACAATTTGTGCATCATGTTCTCGCCTTAATGCATCATAGGTTCGAAATTCTTCTTTTAACTGCATAAGAGAAGAATCTCCTTCACGTTTAGATACCTGGAAAGATATAGCTGACTAGTAAATATGTAATTCTTAATTAAAATTTACGTTGAGATGCTAATCTCACTATTTCACATAGTTAGTTATAGATTATTCAAAATACACTGAAAATTAAATTATACATTTACTAAAATCAATTAATTATGAGTCTTCATGTATTTTATTACATTTTTTTTTATTAATTATAAATGTTAAGGATTGTATAATTGAAATTTTAGTGAATGTTTATTAAATTTTTCTTAATTTCAATGCTTCAATGTTGAAGAGTGAAAAATACGATTTCTTATATGGGTCATTCTTTTACAAATTGGGCGGATTTTGGTAAAAAAAAAATGTGACATTTTAGAATTGGCTGATTTTTTTTTATAGATATTATAGATAAAATCATTTGACACATATTTCAGGATTTTGCCGGAAAAAAAATTTTCTCGTTGATATTTACGATTGAAATATTGCCGATTTTCTCAATTTTTATGATCTTCCTTTGCATTATGTTAATTATCTTCAGTTGTGCTGATCAGATCAGTATTGTTTTTTGTTATTATATTCATTATGAACTCAACTTTTAAGTAATTTAAAAAAAATAGTGTTTTTGCAATTATTTTAACAATAATAACAATTGATTGTTAACATTGTTTTTACATAGGGGCGCCCCAACTTAAATCGATTGCGTAAAAAAACATATTGTTTCTTTTTTTATTTACTTAAAAATTATTTTTACAATTCGATGGAATGACTGTTACATCGGAAGATATTAAATGTTTTCGAGGGAAAGTCGCGCCGCGCGTCCGTTTGAAAGGAGCATAGCGCGTATTAAATGAGTAGAAGTAATATTTTTAACTAAAATATTTTACAATTTCGTTACTGAGGAAAAATAAATATATTATCTAAAATATGTAGTACCAAATATTTTATGTTAACAATCAATTGTTATTATTGTTAAAATAATTGCAAAAACATTATTTTTTTTAATTACTTCGAAGTTGAGTTCATAATGAATATAATAACAAAAAACAATACTGATCTGATCACCACAACTGAAGATAATTAACATAATGCAAATGATGATCATAAAAATTGAGAAAATCGGCAATATTTCAATCATAAATATCAACGAAAAAAATTTTTTGCCGGCAAAATCCTGAAATACGTGTCAAATGATTTTATATATAATATCTATAAAAAAAATTTCAGCCAATTCTAAAATGTCGAGGTCTGGTTGGTGCCCGGTTTGTAAAAGAATGACCCATATATCCGATGCATCAAAAATATTTCTTCTTTGCTAAAAAAATATATGAAAGCTTTTAGATCAGAAAAATAAAAGTATAATAAACAAGTATAAAAGAAAACAGAAGTTTTACAGATATCAAGTTTTCCCAAAAATTTTATTGTAAAATATTGTGAAACACTGTAAAAAATTTATATTTAGAATTTGATGTTCAAGCAAATAAATAATTAGTGGTGTGTGGCATTGTGCCTTCTGCTGGTACTTCCCGTACCATATTGAAATATTCGAAGAATATTAAATGTTTTCAAATAGATTATTATAAATACTGTAGCTTTCATTATTCATGCATCATAGGCAAAATATAAGAGCTTATGAATCGCACGAAAACGTTGATATTTGCTTGCATGACAAGTGAATAAATAGACCTTAATCAAGCCGAGTTACAATGAAAGATTTTGTCACAATTCTAAGAATTATATGGACTTAATTGCAAAGTTAAAATCATTTCAAGTATAAAAGTGAGCTTTAGATTTTTAATTAGAATTAAAATTAAGAGCTATCTCTAAAACAATCGATAAGTTAATAATTCAAATTAATCATTCTATTAAAGTTACTTTTAACAAGTCTGAATATCTCTTCATATCCAATACAAAATTATTATTTATCAGTTTGCCATTACAATCCACAATATGTAGTTACATACGAGTTAGCCTCTACATATATATAATTCTCTCACCTTAAAACAACTAGCTCTGTATAACAATTGAACCACGTGTCCAATGCTGGTTTTAGATGCTTGTGGAAAATGTGGTTCCAATCTTTGAACAACAAACATAACCAAAACTTTTCGAGATAACGCAGAGCCATCCTCTAATGCTAGTAATACGAGTTTTAAAACTTCTTCCTGCATTGCTGGTCCAAGAAATTGACATCCCCTTGCTCTCACGCCAGCCCATAAATTTGCGCTAAGCTAAACAAAAAACAAAATGTGAAGACATATATACAGAATTACTAATATCACTGTGTAAAAACTGAAAAATAAATAATATATTCTATTAGAATTAACTTCAGTATCACTAAAAAGATGATATTGACCAACAAAATTCCGTGAAACAATGTTATAGCAAAAAAAATTTGCATCCCCGCTAATGATCATCAAAAAAGTTTTAAAAATGGCTTTATGCTAATACCAGAAATAAGCAACTTGAAATTATTGTAAATTAGTAATTAATAATAATAAATTTATTTCATAATCTCATAATAAATATATATGAAATATTGTGCTACCTTTTAAAAAATATAATTTATTCATTTGTTCATGATCACATATTCAAGTAATCCCAATTGAGCTAAGATAATTGTACATAAAAAAATTGTACTTAATAAAAAAAATACCATACAAATCATATGATATTATTTTACAATACAAATCAATATATTATTATTTATTAAACTTTGCAAATAGTATTTCTTTTATAAAGTACCTGCTGAGGATTTTGATGCTGCAGTATTAATTCAGTAACTGTTCTTTCTCCTAATGATCTAGCTGCTCTCATTGATCTCGATCTCCCTTCATCTTCAATTAATTGACAATTTACCAATGTCACTAACTTTCGTTGCATTGGTCGAGACAATATACTTGTTGATCCTATAGCATAAAAAAATAATTTATGTTGGTGCACTGTAATTGTTCTACATGTTTTTTTTAAAAAAACTTACCATTGTGGAAAGGTCTTAAATATAATGCCAACTCTTCTATGCATTTCATTGCTTGCAAGTAATGTTTAGATCCTCTGGACTTAGACATTTTATACCTCAGAATTATCACAATCAACTGGAACCGTGGATGGACTTATAAGTTGTAATAAAGCAGAGTTAACAGTAACTATTTATGTCTGTCACAATAACAGTCTGAAAGATAAATGATTTGCAGGTAAATTGTAATAATATAGTATAAGCTTCTAAGAGAGAAAAAAATATGTATATAAAATTATTAATGTTATTTGCAGTACAATAAGTTTGATTACAAATGAAAAATACTAACTGGAAAAAAACATTGATAAATTAAAGATCAGTTAGATTAGCCAAAATTATTTTAAATAAATTTTATAAAATGACCACTATATTTAATACTAAAGTTAGACACAGGCACATTTTTTAACTTTGGAATGTTTTGAAAAATTCTAATCACATCACACTTTCATGTGATGCCATGATCAAGTCTAATACAAAATAATTATTAATTTTAAATTTTTAGTCCAGTCATTTAAGCTTAAATAAGGTAAGGATCTCGGAATTCGAGATACGCAGCTGTAAGTCTGTAAATACTTGTATGTTGACATTTAAAAGTTGTCTCACAACCTACTTATGGTACGTACACATTAACATATGTAGATTTTGAGACAAATTTTAAATGTCAATATACAAGCATTTACAGGCTTACAGCTGGGTACATATAGGGTGTATGTACCCACATATGGTACGTAAACCCAACCATATGTAGGTTTTGAGACAACTTTTAAATGTCAATATACAAGTATTTATACTTACAGCAGGGTATCTCGATTTCCGAGGTCAACTTACTATAATGACTGGACATTTAAGAATAACAAGAAATAAAACAATGTAAAAAGATAAAGCATGTCTCAATAAATTTTAAGTAAATTTATAATAAACATTAA